ATGCATCGATGTTTAGTTCATCTTCGATAGTGTACGTTTAGGTTTGTCCACATCCGCAAATATTTTCCAGATAACAGATGTCGCCCTCCGAGTTGTCTTCTTGCTGTTTTTACTATGTTTTAAACTATTACTTCGCCTAGTTCCAGCTGTAGTTCTTACTCTTTAAACGAGTGAAGTGTCGGCCATTTTTGTTTTCACAACCAAAATAACTCAACCTCGTCCCCAGGTCTTCTCGGTTAGCGGTTCATTAACCTGTAGAAGGCTGCATTTTTGGCGTCATTTCCTCGTTAAACACAAAATTCTTCCAAATTTGGTCATCAGTAACTGGTTATGGTGAATTAAACGTGTGCCTTTAGCCAATCAGAATCGGGGAAATATTTTGAATGAATAATAAGAAGAATTAACGAATGAGGCTGAGTATGAAGAATTATGGACATCGAGAAGGGTGTTATCCGTCGAGGCCGTAGGCGGAAGCGGATAACACCCTCCGAGATCTCCATTATTCTTCATAGGATACGAAAGCCGAATTCAACAATTGTTCTATCATTCATTCAAAATAATTCCTAGTTTAAAAACATGGCTAAAACATTCTTACCTCCATCGATCCATCAATGTTAAGTTCATCCTCGATAATGCACGTTTAGGGTTGTTCAGCTCCGCAAATATTCTCCAGATAACAGATGTCGCCCTTCGAGTTGTCTTTTTACTGTTCTTGCCATGTTTTTAGCTATTATTTCGCCTAGTTCTGACTCTTGAAACGAGTGAAATGTCCGCCATTTTTTTTTTCATAACCAAAACAACTGAACCTCGTCCCCAGGACTTCTCGGTTAACGGTGCATTAACCAGCAAAAAAGCTGCACTTTTGATGTCATCGATTCATTAAACGCAAAATTCTTCTAAATTTGGTAATCAGTAGCTGGTTATGGTAAATTATACGTGTGCTTTTAGCCAATCATAATCGGGGAAATATTTTGAATGAATAATAATAATAGTTAATGATAATAATAATATATGGTAAATGGGCGTGGGTTCCTCTCTGCCAGAAAACACTAGGTTGGTTTCTGGCGCGGTGTAGACTACCTTGATGAAGGAAGGTGGATCTCTCGTGCGTTTTGGTATAGAAATCCGTCTAGTGATGGTGGCACTCTAAAACTATTGGTTTGTGTAAACCTTAAAACAGGACCTCAGTTAATGAGAGAATGCCGAATTTTGAATTTTACTCTAACGACGTCAACGGCACTGTAGAGACCAGCGAGGGTGTCGCGTCTGGCAGATGTCCTGTGGAGCAGCAGCGCAGGCCTACAATACAATACAATACAATACAATATTCTTTATTTAACGAAGGTGACGTAATAACCCAATGAGTTTTCTAACTTACGGCCTTCACAACAATACAAAATACACATATAAAAACAATGCCTAATCAGTAATATACGACTACAACAAGAGAAAAAATAGAACTAGACAAATGTATGGTTTAACATCGATATAAGATGATATAAACTAATTACCTTCTAATACAGTTACAATAAAGAGAAAAACGACAATCATAACACATTAATTCTTCAAGATGAGAAACGTTACTAGCGAACTTAAGGAATAAGATAAAGAGTTTATGCT